TTCTGAGACACTTCACTGCCTTCTCAGACAGCCTCGGTTATCTCCCACTGAGGCATTTGTATTCTTTTTGGTTTATAGAACTGAACTGGTTTTTTATAAGCTCAACTCTTGCATTTTTTTTTGGCATGTATTCTTCTTGCATCAACACAATAACCCACCAATTATTAACATTTCCCCAATAACAGAAGCTGCCACGCTTCCTTAAGAGTGGTCTAAAACTTCTGCCACATTCTACCAGGCCAACACAAGTCATCTGACCTGTCTCCTTCCAGGATGATGAGGAAATAATCTATGTCTTATGAATAGAATAATATTAGCGAAGGATCTGATAATGTCAGTCTGACTATTTTCTAACTCAAACAAGTCATGAATTTTTTTTTTTTTGCTTTTTGGGTCACACCCAGCTGTTGCTCAGGGGTTACTCCTGGCTCTGCACTCAGGGATCACTCCTGGTGGTGCTTGGGGGACCATATGGAATGCTGGGAATCGAACCCGGGTCGACTGCATGCAAGGCAAATGCCCTACTCGCTGTGCTATTGCTCCAGCCCCACAAGTCATATCTTAAAAGCAAAGAAATTAATAAATGATACAAAATTTTCAGAAAGGAAGGATTCAGGATTTCAGGTATTGGTGAACTCTTGAAAAGAGAAACATTGAAGGCTTGATTGCATGACTTTTGGCCATAAAACTATAGTGACTGGAATGAGGCTGTGGTTTACTTATTGAATTTCCAGAACATGTTCATAGTGAAAACTGTTGTTCAGTGGCTTTCAGAACTGTGGAATAATCACAGATTGACTGGCTTCATAAGCATATGCTCTGAGATTTGTTCTCACATAATGGCTGTCAATGCCTAATCACTTTAGCTATCAATTCTGGGAGTGAATTAATTTATGGTTTGAGGCTAGTGCCAATAAACTGTCATTCTTAAGTTTTCCTAAATTTGGAGACTGTAACAATTTTATTGTAATAAAAGGGTTTTGTTTTTGTTTTTGTTTTCATTTGTGCTGGAGCGATGGCACAGCAGGTAGGGCGTTTGCCTTGCACGCGGCTGACCCGCGTTCGATTCCTCCACCCCTCTCTGAGAGCCCAGCAATCTACAGATAGTATCTTGCCCACATGGCAGAGCCTGGCAAGCTCCCATGGCATATTTGATATGCCAAACACAGTAACAAGTCTCACAATGGAGACGTTACTGGTGCAAACTCGAGCAAATCGATGAACAATGGGAGGACAGTGCTACAGTACTACATTTTCATTTGTGCAGGTTTATTCCTAGAAACAGATTTGCCAGACACTGGATATGACCCAGAATTTATCAATGCTGAGGATCAAACCCAGGACCTCATATCTGTGAGGAATGTGCTCTACCACTGAACTACATTCCAAACACCAATTTTGTTTATGGAGAACCTTAAGGAAGTTAGAGATTATATTTGCGGCTGCAGAAATTGAAATTAAAAAAATAGCACTCTAAAGGTGCATCTACAGATCAATATTTCTTAAATCTCCATCAAAATGGCACATTCACATAAGAGCTTAGTAAATATTAGGAATATTTTATTGCTAATTATTTATTGCTAAATATTTATTGATAAAATGTTAACACTATTTATTGCTAAGGTATTAACAATTTTCAATATTTTTTCATAGAATAAACATAAATTACAATATTTCAAATTATATTTTGAAGATAGTCAATCAATATGTCGTATGAGATAATTGTAACTGTTAAGTATCAGACAAATTAGAGTGAGTATGCTTAAGAAATTGAAAATCACGAACATCTCTTCATAAGAACTAAGGTTGTAGAATTTAGATTGGAGTAGCATTTTACAATTATATTAAGTGCAGGAAGTAAAATAAATTAACTAGCATTATAAATGTGCTTTGTTGTTACTGTGTCTGGCATATCGAAAACTCTCGGAAGCTTGCCGGGCTCTCCGAGAGGGGCTACTAGTAATGTTACAATATAGCAGGCAGAGCTAGGTATTGTAAAAAAATTTTGTATTTTTAATATTAATCTTTTGTTGTTGTTGTTTGTTTTGGGGTCACACCTGGCAATACTCAGGTGTTACTCCTGGCTCTGCATTTGGGAATTGCTCCTGACAGTGCTTAAGGGACCATATGGGATGCCAGGCAATAGACCGGGTCAGCCATGTGCAATGCTTTACCCGCTGTATGTTCCAGTGTTCTAGTCACAGTATTTAATTTTTTGAGAAGACCCAACATACTGTTCAGAAGGTCCAGTGATACTGAGGAATACTCAGACAACTGTGCCAGATGGTTTAATGGTTTCTTGGGGTTTTTTTTTGTTTTTTGTTTTTTGCTTTTTGGGGTCACACCCTGCGATACTCAGGGCTTACTACTGAACTCAGGAATTACTACTGGCAGTGGTCAGGAGACCATATGGAATGCCAGAGATCAAACCTGGATCAGAGCATGCAAGGAAAGTGCCCTACCCGTCCTATTACTCCAACCCCAAGATGGTTTAATGTTAAAATCCAATGATGGAGCACTACTCACGCCTAGCAGGGCTGGGGACCAAGTGATGCTCAGGGGCTTCTAGAGCCATATCCAGCAGTGCTCCAGGAATAGTACAGAGCCAAGGATCAAACTTGGTGACTTAGGCCAGTGAGAATACAGCAAGTAAGGAACTTTTCTCACAAGGTCAATTCAAGTTGGAGCCCCAGCAGATCATATGGTCCTCTGAGCCCCACAAGAAATGATTCCTGAGCGGAGATCCAGGAATAAGGTCTAAGCACAGCCAGGTATGGCCCAAAAGCCTCATCCCAAAAAAACAAAACTAGGGGCTTTGTGCATGCAAAATATGCATTCCTAATGCCTGAACTCCATGGCTCTGAAGATATTATTTTATCATAGTAAGAAAATTATAAATTCATCTTAATTAAAAATGTTTATTTTATATATAAACTGCTACATTCCATAAGCATATTTCTATTTTCAGTATTGGAACAATTAATCAACTAAAAACCATTTTTCTTTGAAAAGATTACAACCCTAGGTTTTTAAGATATAAATTACAAAATATACACCTGTCCACAAATTACTGTATGCATCATTTCTGAAAATATAGCATATAAAAGTATATCTCTATGTTAGCTGTGATGTTTTCAACTCAAAATAATAGAAAACTTAATTTTGCAAAGCACCAGATAGTAAATATCTCTGTGAATCATATGACCTCTGTCAGAATTACTTCATGCTGCTCTTGTAGTATGAAAGTAGTGATAGGCAAAACAGAATTTCTTTTTCATAGGGGTGTTCTAATAAAAATGTATGATTATTAAAAACTGAATATCATATTAATGGAGACATTACTGGGCCCACTCGAGCAAATCGATGAACAACAGGAGGACAGTGCTACAGTGCTATCATATTAATATGGAATAAATATTTCTTAATTATTTCCCAATCATTGACAAATGTAAACCCTTCCTTAGACTACAAAAAATGTGCAGTGGACCAGATAGATATGAATCATTTGTGGCAATATGAGTTATCAAAACAAATCAAGGCACTCTATCAATAAAGTGAGAAATGCATGTTGGTATTCATCCACTTTTTGCAGCATATTTCAAAAAATATAGAGTGAAAATATACAAACATCTAACACAGTTTTCTTATATCACACACTTAAGTATTTTAAAACTATTTACTTATACCTCAGAGCAATACTAAATATTATCACTCCTTATTTACCAGGGGAAAAGATTTCAGGTCAGTTAAGTGACATGCCCTAAGCTGGAATTTGAATCTAACAGCTGGAGTTCACAGTGTTTCTTTGTCCAGGAAGACAAGGTGGTGAAGAATATTCAGGGCTCCCAATCAAAATACAAATGCTCTGCAACCTGCTATAACTTCAGCAGTAAGATACATATTTAGTTACTTATATAGCATTATAGTTAGAATGTCGAATCACTACTTTCAGCTGCTCTGAAAAATAAACTTGGGCTTTTGCTATAAACAAACATGTCCCTAGTGTAAAGTTTGGATACAAGAAACCAGAAATTTTACAAAACATTTCTAGCTTCTTTCTGAAAGGCTCTTTCTTTAACAGTGTTTATGTCCACTTGAAAATGTCAGGAGATAGGAGAAAGTATTTCAATTTTAAAAGAATATACATTTTTAAACAATAGTACTAAGACTTAATGTGAAATATATTCATATGGTATTCATAGAGCATTGGACTAAGGTTACATATCTAAGTACAATTGTAGATTGGTTCCACATACACATTGAACATTCACAGTCTGTGCTTTGTAGCAATACACTAACATATATGTATATATACACACATTAGGTCCTAAGGGATGTTTTACATGTGTTTTATCATGTTGCCTTATTTTCCAATGTATTTGTGTTTTTTAAAAAGATTTAAATATATAGACATTTGCAGGTTTCCTTAGAAAAGAAAAAACAAATCCTTAGTGTAATCAACATGATTTCTAGGAGAACTGTTTTCTCAAGTACAAATTATCTTGAATTTTTCTTATAAAGCTTCCTTATATTTAAAACATTTGTAAAGATTTTTTTCTAGTATGAGAGCAAATGATGTAAAAATATTTCTGAATGAAAAAAATTTCAGGATACTGAGTTCTTAAGAATTTCTCTCTAATGCAAGCTTTTGAGTGTTTAGTGATACAGTTACTAAAAAGAAATCTCCTAACAATCACTTTTTGTGGGATTTCTCTCGTATTTGATTTCTATGTTATCAAACATAGAAATTGGAAAGGTTTCCCTCATGTTATATAATTTAAGGGCTTCCACCATGTAGGTTTTACTGTACAACATATGGTTAAAATTTCTTATAGATTCATGAAATCTTTCTCTACTTCCCCTCCATAAGGAGAGATTGTGGCTGAAATTTTTCCATATTGATAATATTCATCAATAATATTCATAAATATTTTGTCTTTTGTAAATTATGATATTCTGAAGTATGAATTCAGAGAGAATTTTCCAATGCATACTGCTCATCATTTTTTTTCCTCTATATGTGTCTTCTGATGTGCAGTGAGTTTAGATTTCTGAATAAAAGTTTTTTTACACTCCTGACATTCATAGGGTTTTACCCCTGTGTGTTTTCTCTCATGTATAATAAAATGAGACTTTTGTGAGAAGGATTTCCCACATTCCTTACATTCATAGGGTTTTTCTCCTGTGTGAGTCCTTTGATGTAATTTCAAGACTGAATTCACAGAGAAAGATTTACCACATTCATTACACTCATAGGGCTTCTCCCCTGTATGCTTTCTCTGGTGTTTGGTGAGATCTGATTTATAGTAAAAGTTTTTTCCGCATTTGTTACATTCAAAGGGTTTCTCCCCTGTGTGAGTCCGCTGGTGTACTGTGAGGGCTGACTTCTGGTAGAAGCATTTCCCACATTCTTTACATTCATAAGGTTTCTCTCCTGTATGAGTTCTCTGATGGGTTTTGAGGTGTGAATTTCTAGAGAAGAATTTTCCACATTCCTTGCATTTATAGGGTTTTTCTCCTGTATGTGTTCTCTGATGTACTGTGAGATGTGATTTCTGAGAAAAGAATTTCCCACATTCTTTACACTGATATGGTTTCTCTCCTGTGTGTGTTTTCTGATGCACCATGAGGTATGCCTTAACATAGAAAAACTTCCCACACTCAGTACATTCAAATGGTTTCTCTCCCGTGTGTGTTTTTTGATGTTCCATGAGGTGTGGTTTCTGATAGAAGGACTTTTCACACTGATTACATTCATAGGGTTTCTCTCCTGCGTGAGTTCTTAAATGTCTACTGAGAGATGACAGGTGGTAGAAAGTTTTCTGACATTCTTTGCACGCATAGTTTTTCTCTCTAGTGTTAGTTTTCTGAAGTGCCGCAACGTCTCCATTCCTGGGTACAGATTTCCCATGTTCACTGGGCTTTTCCTTTGGATGCGTGTGTCGATGTACTATGAGGGCAGTCTTCTGGCAGAAGGTCTTTCCACATTCATCACATTTATAGATTTTCTCTGTATTATGTGTTTTCTGATGTTTTGTGAATTCTCCATTCCTAGAAATAAAGATCCAAAATCATTAATGTCTGTTATTTTTTCAAATCCACAGTGTGATTTCCCAAATAAATTGGAGAACCTATTTCTATTTTCCCATATTTATTAGATTCCAGGTTTCTCCACTGCAACTATTCTCTGAGAGACTTATATTTTAACATTTAGAAAAAGAAACACTTATTTGTTGTATACTAATCTCTAAAACTCTACATTATGAAATAAATTCTTGTTGTATAATTCAGAGGAGTCAAGAGGCTCTTAAAATTTTAAATTTCTTGATCTTAAATAAAGTTTATATTATGAGAAATGGCTTTCTTAGTTCTTTGGAATTCTCTCCTTAATTCTATATTAGGATTAACCTTTTCTCCCTTAATTCCAGTACCCCCACCAAGATACTTTCTTTTTTAAAACTTGAATCACCATGAGATACACAGTTATAAACGTATTTATGATTGAGCTTCAGTCATACAATATTTCAATACTCATCTCCTTCACCATTGTACTTTTCCCACCAATGTCCTCAGTTTCCCTCCTGCCCTCACAATCTGCCTCTATAGCTCTATAGCAGACACTTTTCTTCTCTCTCTCTCTTCTTCGCTCTCTCTCTTTCCCTCCCTCCCTCCCATCTACTTTCCCAACCTCCATCAATTCCCCCCTCTTTCACAATACTGTTACTGAAGGGTTGTCATGCATATCATTTTACCTCCTTTCAGTACCTAGTTTCAAGATAATTTCTTACAAAGATGCTAATCTTAAACAAAATTATCAAACTTGCCTTGACTTTTCAGGATGATTTTTCTGATGTCTTGTTCCTTGGTCATGAATATTCCATAGGACTTCTACAGAGAAACCCAAAATTTAATAGTATGTTAATCTTAACACATTTGGGCCATAGTGTTCATTCTTAGGTTCCAGGCAAATTTCCCCCAAATGAAAGAATTTTCAAATAAAAATTGCAGAAAGGAAAGAAGTACCTCTAATACTTTACAAAGACTATCTCTAAAAATTGGAGAAGAGGGGCCAAAGAGAGTATAAGCAGGCAGAGCATTTGCCTTGCACGTGGTCAACAATGTTTATTCCCTGGCACCCATACGGTCTTCCAAGCCTGCCAGGCATGATCCTTGAGTGCAGAGCAAGGAGTAAGCCCTGAGATTCACTGAGTGTCACCTTCAAACAAAAACAAACTGGAGAAGACAGATCGTAGAACATAGCTCAAAGGGTCGAAGTGCAGGCTCCAAGTTTGAGCCCTGGACCACATGACCTCAACTGTACGTCTTGGTGTAACCCTGAGCAATATCAGGGTGACTCTTATTGTTCCCACAATTACTATCCCTCAGCAGCACCACATTATCTATACACTAGCACTGAACCTTCAGGCCTGTAACATTGGGTTAACTTCCCAGGAGTGTCACCTGGGTCCCAAAGTATTGCTAGGGAAGATTCCTCCCCGCGGAAGAAAGCCTGGGGAATTTAATGAAAACTTACACACACTCTGCAAATAACAAAAGATGTTTGAAGTGTGACGAATTAAGAATACAGGATTTATACACAGGGTACGAATCCATTAAGGACAATGAAGTGAGGTGATAAGAAAAACTGGTAAACCACAGTATCAGGAGGGAATTTATTGAAAGTGCTTAAGTATAGGTTTTTATATACACAAAACTAGTTTATTATGTTAGGATTTCTAGTGGTTACCAGACTAAAATATTCCATTTAATTTCTTCTTTACCACATGCAATCTAAATGTCAACACTAAAGTGACTGTCTTTAAACATCAATTTCCTCTTAATCAAAAGGATAGTCCTATAATTTGGGCTTTTCATTCATCATCTAGCCATCTTAATATTCACATGACAGAAGACCAAGAAGATGAACGTCTAAAATTAAAATGAAGATAGAGGGCCAGAGTGATAGTATAGTGGGTAGGGCATTTGCCTTACACATCGCCAGTCTGGGTCTGATCCCCAACACCCTATATGGTTCCCCAAAACCACCAGAAGTGATTCCTGAGTTTAGAGCCAGGATTAAACCCTGAGGACTTCCAGGTGTGCCCCATCAACAAAACAAAACAAAAAGCAGAGTACAAGCCATTCATATAACAAGATGAATTTTCAGTTATATTACCAGAGGTTTTCAATACTGACCACCAAATACTTCATCTTCAAAGCAGTTTTACTCATACCCCAATACTAAATCTAATTCTGTTTTCATATCTTAGTTACCACATTTATGCTTCAATTCACTATAGGATCTTTAAAAGTTAAGACTAATGAAATCATGCTAGGCTGATTTCTTTATTCATCTGTGAATGCTTGACAGAAAAGATTTTTGGCAGATATTTACGACTATAATTTCATATTACTTAAAGGGAAAACATGAGAAAAGTTATTTAATTGGAATTTAGGCAGGGCTAACTTGGATACAAAGTTATAAAATATATATAATAAAACATTTAGTAGTGCAAATATAAAGATTAGCATATGCTTAGGGGCCACAAGGAAAAATAAATATAGCAGGCAAGAAAAGACCTGACTAGTTATTGAAAGCAAGTTAATGCATTTTGTAATAGTGAGTTAATATCAGTTTATCATGATGGACTATTAGCAATATAAATTTGCATCAATATACAAATGTAACTTTAAGAATTTTCATTAAGAATCAGCTTTTGTTCTTAAGATAAAAGGAGTTGGATTAGTAGAACTATTCTGTAAAATGGGAAAATACAGGACCAGAATACAAATAGACAAAAATCCTAGAAATGTCAATTTTAAGAGTTCTCAACCCAAAAGCTAATTAATAACTTGGCTTTCAGACCCCTCTGGAGGTCACTATTAAGGGCTCAGAAAAGAAAATAGTATCTGAACCATATTGGTTGAAATTTAATAATTCTATAAATATTTAAATATGCTATTGATCCTGAGAGTATCTCACCCGCACAGCAAAGCCTGGCAAGCTACTTGTGATGCATTTGATATGCCAAGCACAGTAACAACAAGTCTCGCAATGGAGACATTACTGGGCCCACTCGAGCAAAACGATGAACAACGGGAGGACAATGCAGTGCTACAGTGCAGTTGATCCAAATAGCCCATAAGTAGAACAATAACTGAAAAGTATTCGAAGAAGGAGTAAAATTGTAGTCAAGGTTTTGGCAAACAGGAAACTTTGGTTCTGTTTGGTTTTTGATTTCTGTTTCTGGGCTACACTCAGAAATAGGCTTTCTCCCGGCTCTGTGCTCAGGGATGCCCTACCCATAGAGCTGAGGGGCTACTTTGGGCTCTGTGTTTGAGAATGCTCTTTTATAAAAAAAAAAAATTTAATAGTGAAACACCATGAGGTACAGTTGTAGACTTACAAATTTTTGTGCCTGGGTCTTAGTTATACAATGATCAAGTACCCATCCCTCCACCAGTGCCCATTCTCCACCCCCACCAATCCCAGTATCCCTCCCACCCCCATCCCCCCATCCCACACTGCCATTGTGGCGGGACACTCCCTTTTGTTCTCTCTCTTCTTTTGGGTGCTGTGGTTTGAAAAAGAGGCATTAGGCGGCAATCATGTTTGGTCTATAGTCTACTTTCAGCATGCATCTCCCATCCTGGGAGGATCTTTGTGTTTGGGAATGCTCTTGGCAGTACTTGAAATACCAATGGATTCAGCTGTTTATCTCTCTGGCCTCATTAATTTTTTTTTAAATCTTAGTGCTATGACATTCTCAATAAGGTACAGAACATTTTAGAAAGGATAGTTAGTAATTTATATGACAAGCATCTTTTAGAAGTATCAAGTCTGAATAATAGAATTGATTATAGTCACAATAATTTATAATGTGATTTCAAAGTTTATGGAGAGAATAGCACATTAACACTTGCACTAAAGATAGCTATGACTTTTCATTGTAAAAAGGAGAATAGGCCAGAGAGATAGATCAAAAAGTAGGGGTATATGCATGCTGTGTATACTGCAGGCCCAGGTTGGATCCCCAGCATCACATGGTCCCCTGCGTATCAAGTCATAAGCAACCCCTGAGCACCCAGCCAGAAGCAATCCCTAAGAACTGCCAGATGTGGCCCCCCAAAAGGAAAATGGCATTTGAAAAACATAATATATCATATTTATAAAATTTAAGATTATATCTGCAAACTTCAGTAGTACTTGCTACTGAAGTTTGCAGATATAATCTTAAATTTTCTAGAATTCTAGAAAAAAGACAAAATAATAGTCTCAATATTAGGTTAGACAGGGATTAGGTTTGGATTTAGAAAAGAGATGTAAATCTAAAATAAAATGTCCACAGGACAGGTGGCCAGGGATATAGATCAACGACAGAGTGAGTTCATCTTTGCATAAATGAAACCCTAGGTTCTAGTCCCAGGGTCCCTCTCCCAAAATACTGAGAAATGGAGAGGATGAATATGGAAGTGTGGATTTGTGTTGCTTTCATATGCAGATAAAGGATGCTTGTATCATTTCCAGAAATATATTTTTAAAAATCTCAAAAGTCACCAATTATGTCATAATAACATGAATTATAATTTCTCACTTACCTGGGTAGTTCTGATGCGGAAATTCTACTTCTAATATCCATGGCTTTTTTCCTTGCTTCAGTTTGAAGACTGCATTTGGATTATTCACATGACAACCTAATAATGAAGATGAGATTATGAAAATAATACATATTATTTTTTTTCTTTTTGTGTCACACCTGGTGATGCACAGGGGTTACTCCTGCCTCTGGACCCAGGACTTACTCCTGGCGGTGCTCAGGGGACCATATGGGATGCTGGGAATCAAACCCGGGTCGGCAGCATGCAAGGCAAACGCCTTACCCGCTGTGCTATCTCTCCAGCCCCATAATACATATTGTTTAGAATTCATAGTTTCTTAGGGATAAGAGGGCTTTGATTTTAAGAGCAAGGCAATGAAGGTCGCACTTAAACTTAGCAAATTTACATTATTTCAATGGGAAGGGTGGAGACACAAATATAGTTTCTGGAACTATCCAAAACTGATTAACCAACTTTGATTCCTAAAACAAAACAAGTATCACCTAACCCCACAAATGTATTACCTATGCAAGTAACTGGGAAATAAAAATGCAACCTTCTGGTAGTTATGTATGGGAAAGGTTTTCTCACCCACGGAGACTAGAAGACTATAGTTCTCCTGCATCACTTCTTTGTACAAGGTCTTCTGAGAAGCATCTAGCAACTTCCACTCCTCTGGAGTGAATTCCACAATAATGTCCTTGAAGGTTACTGGTCCCTGTAATGCATGTTTATTTCAGTTCAAACCAAAGTCACAATAATAGAATACCATTGAAAATGTGTACATAGTCCAAACATTGAATATATTATACAAATAAATCAATTATTTTCATTATGTTCCCCCAAAATCTAAAGGAAAAAAAGAAGTAAAGACAGCTAGAAGAATGTTTAAACAGATAATAGTGTTAGAAATATAGAAGTTTCACAAAGTAACCAAAAGGGATCATCAGTGAAGTGACTCACAGGGCTTGGGCACACACTTTGCAGGTGGAAGTCTCAGATTTGAATGACAGACTTCATTGTCCCCAAGCACTACATCAAGTGTAAAGGTAAAGGTAAAGGCCCTCCCGTTGATCTTCGATTTGCTCGAGCGGGCCCAGTAACGTCTCCATTGGAGACTTTGTTGTTACTGTGTCTGGCATATCGAATACTCTCGGTAGCTTGCCGGGCTCCCCACCAAATACTACCTGGTGTCACCTGTAATTTTTTAAAGTAACCATAAAGATATTATAGAGTACTGTACTCAAAGGTAGAGCAAGTGAAATCAAAATTTCACTACAAAGAATCAGGGGAAGATTTGAGCAGGCAAAAGAAAGAATCAGAAAGATTGAATATAAGATCATTGAAATGATGCAGGAGAAGGAAAAAAATTAGAAAGATGAATAGAGCATAACAGATCTAGGGAGACTAAGAGAGACCACTATGCATACCCCATTATGTATACCAATAGAAGCAAAACAGTCATTTCCAAACCAGAAGAGACAGGACAGGAAAAAGGACAAATATAACTGTTCAAAAGCAATGGCAAAACCACCCGAATTTACCAAACTGAAATGTCCCAACTTATCCCAAAATGAAATGTCGCAAATGTTAAGCTATACAAACAGGTAGTACAATAAACTCCAATCAGAGAAACTCAAGAGTTCCATACACTGAAGCCAGAAAAATAGCTCTAAGGGTTATATACTTTGTGTGTGGGGTACACCATGTTTTATCCCTTATGCCTCATGATGTTCCCAAACACCTCCTGTGGGGGGAACGGGGGAGGAGTGATAGCAGATCAGGAAGGACATTTGCTTTGCACCTGGCTGACCCAGATTCAATTCCTGGCACCCTCTATGGTTCCCTGAACCTACCAGGAATAGTCCCTGAGTGCAGAGCCAGAAATAAGACCTGAACTCTCTGAGTATGGCCCCAAAACAAAAGACAATCACCATTAAGAGTAACCCCTGAGCACTTGGCTAAGAAATGTCCCAATACCAGGTGCAACGCAAAACAAAATAAACTCAAAATAAGTCTATACCCAACATTTATAGTCAAATTTTCTAAAGCCAGAGATATTTGATCTTTATAGCAGTACAATTCTCAAGAAAATTAAAGAAGATCTCTCAACAAAAAACAAGGGAAGCAGAAGGCCAGGTGATGACATGAAAGCTCAAGTTTTAACATTGGCAATAATAAGTAATTTTCCTTGAGAACTGTCATATTTAAGTTTATAACAAAAGCATAAACTTCCCATTCTGTCACCCTGAATACTATAAAAAACATGTATCCAAGGATCAATATTTATTTATTTAGGTTTTCGGGCTGGAGCAATAGCACAGCAGTAGGGCATTTGCGGCCAACATGGCCGACCCGAGTTCGATTCCTCCACCCCTCTCAGAGAGCCCAACAAGCTACTGAGAGTATCTCGCCCGCACAGCAAAGCCTGGCAAACTACCCCTGGCATATTTGATATGCCAAACACAGTAACAAGTCTCACAATGTTACTGGGCCCGCTCGAGCAAATCAATGAACAACGGGAGGACAGTGACAGGTTTTCAGGCCACACCTGAAGGTGCTCAGGGCTTATTCCTGGCTCTGTCCTCAGGAATCAATTTGGCAGTACTCAGGAGACACTATGGGATGCTGGGGACAGAACCTGGGTTAGCTGCTTGCAAGGCACCCTGTTATGCATGAATGCTCCAACCCTTTGATTTATATCCCTGGCCTCTGTAATTCCTTATTATAAATAACTTACAAAGGGAATACAATGTTCTAGGTGCCTTTTTATTCACACCAGATTGGCAGCAGCCTATTCACCACTGTCTTTATTGCACCTACAGTACAATCTTCATTTTAGTATTAATGTTTTGCTTTCTGGATTTTGGTTTTGGGGCCACACTTGGCAGTGCTCAGGGCTTACTACTGACTCTGTGCTCAGGAATAACTCCTGGTGGGCTTGAACAACCATATTTTGTACCAACAATTGAACCTGAATCAGCTGCATGCAAGGCAAAGTGTCCTACCCACTGTACTATTGTGCCAACCACTGTATTAATGCTTTTACCTCAGATCCCTTGAAAAGGTCTTGGGTCTCAGGAAACCGAAGACCACACTTTGTGAACTGCTATAATTTTAAGATATGTTCTCTAAAGGTGACTTATTTTTATTGTGTAACTTTTTAAAGTCATCGATTTAGTTACAGACATTCAATATCCCAACACCAATCCCACCACCATACCATCCCAACACCATTATTTTCAATTTTCCCAACCACCCCTTAAGCTGGCCCCCATAGTAGGCCCTCAATAATTTATATTATTTGTTATAAGTGATTTGCTAAAAGGATGAACAAAAAATGTTTCCTTAGAATAAAGCTATTGAAGATTGTTGTATCTCATGATGGACCCATCAAGCACTTGTGTAAGAAATTACTAAGATGTTGTTACAGATTAAGCACTAAATTTATTTTTAACTCATTTACAATATGGGCCCTCCTTCATAAAATTTACTAGAAACACACACACAGTGAAAGAAAGAAAGGGCTAAGTAAATGACTCACCGGGAATTTGTTCATTTTTTGCTGCACTTGGGAAAATATTGAATCTCTGGAACCAGAATAGGGAATGTTGGAAGACAGATGTCATCAGAGAATTTATCCTACAGCTCCAGGAACTACCTATGAGAAATTTCCATATAACATTTTAGTAAAAGATAAACCTCTAGGGATATGACCCATGAAGAGAAATAGGGAAAAAATGACAAAAGAATACCCAAATGTCCATTATGATTCTAATATAATCTTAATGAGCTTATTAAGAATATTAAGAATATTTTTAGCATGGGGGCACATAACTCCCAATAGTGCTCAAGGAATTTGGAGAGCCAAAGGCAATTCTCTGCCAACCACGATGCAGATGAGTGCAGGAGCCCAAGGATATGATGCTAATCAACCTAGAGATACATGGGACACTGGGTAGAACCCCTAGGCCTATACCTGGCCATGCTCCCAGAGCATGTGGTGCCAGAAATCAAACTAAGGTCAGATGCATGTAAGGCATGCGCCCTAATCATGCTACTATCTCTCTGTCTCACACATGGATCATTTTTTAGTAACTCAAAAGATTTATCTCCTATTGGGTATGTTTTTTAATTATGTGCCATCTATCTGTATAAAAATGAAAATGTAAATATCCAAAAAGCAGGCTTGGAGTGCCCGAGAACAGATGACTGGTTAAAGAAACTTTGGTACATTTACACAATGGAGTACTATGTAGCTGTTAGAAAAGACGAAGTCATGAAATTTATATACAAGTGGTACTACATGGAAAGTATCATGTTAAGCGAAATGAGTCAGAAAGAGAGGGATAGACATAGAAAGATTGCATTCATCTGGGGAACATAAAGTAACAAAATAGGAGACTAACACCCAAGAATGGCCAAGATTAGTACCAGAAATTTTACTCCCTGGTTTGGAGGCCAGCCACACATGCTAGGGGAAAAGGGAGCTCAGATAGAGAAGGGAGCACCAGATAAAAGGTGTTGAGAGGATCCTCCCAGGATGGAAGAAGCATGCTGAAAGTAGACTATAGACCAAACATGATTGCCACCCATTGCCTCTTTTGCAAACCACAACACCCAATAGGAGAGAGAGAACAAAATCTCTGGAACAGAAGCAGGGTGGGATGGGGGGATGGGGGGTGGGAGGGACACTGGGATCTGTGGTGGTGGAAATGGGCACTGGAGGAGGGATGGGTATTTGATCATTGTATAATTGGAACCCAAGCACAAAAATTTGTAAGTCTACAGCTGTACCTCATGGTGTCTCACTAATAAAAATTTTTAAAAAAGCAGGTTTGTTAAGCAAGTATATATATATATATATTATATATGCACAAGTATATATATATATCTACAGATATACACTTATATCTGTATATATATGAATATAGAAGCCTTTCAAATGATGTTGAAAAGATATCTATTGATATGGAAAAGTATAACAAGTTTTTCTATTATTATCATAAGGATTTAAAAGACTTCAGAGCTCTCAAAGATAAGATGTTTCTGGGGCAAGAGCAATAGTACAGCAAATTGACCTGTGGCTGAACTGGCTTCCATCCCTAGTACCATGTGTGGTTCCCTGAGCCAGAAGTGATCCCTAAGCAGAGAGCCAAGAGTAAGCCCTGAGCACCACTAGATGTGACCCCCCTCAAAAAAAAAATCTGTGGGGCTAGAGAAACAGTACAGTGGGTAAGATGCTTGCCTTGCAAACGACCAACCAGGTTCAATCCATGGCACCCCATATGGTCCCCCAGGCTCCTAGGAATGATCCCTGAACTCAAAGCTAGGTGTATGCCCTGAGCACAGCCAAGTGTTGCTCCCAAACAAACATAAATTTTTAAAAATATTTCTTCTTAAATTACAGTTATCATTTTTTGAATCACTTATCATTTTTTGAAACAAATACAACATAGTAGACCTGGAGACTTTAGTTCTATGTTAGGTCCTGCAATTAACAATCTAAGCTACTAGCTCAGTTTCAATGCTATTATCTTCTTTTAATTTGGGGGCCAGGCAGGCAAGAAGGTTGGGCATGTAGGGGGAGCACCCTGTAGTGCTCAAGGCTCCCCCTAGCCAGTGCTCCTGCCGGGATCTAACCTGGGTCAGATTCATGCAAAGCTCCATGCACCTGCACTGTCTGGCCCGAACAAGGCTATTATCTTTAACATAATAAAGCATTAGATAATTCTGAATAACCTTTCATGTACCACGCTGATTCACTCAACATCACAAATCTAGTACCCAACAACTGACCATTTCTTCCAATCATGGGCTGTATCCAGGGCAAAACTTAGCACATTTTGACAAAGCTGTCTCATCTGCTACCAGTGACACAAATCTAGCTTCTAAATAACAATCTGCCACCATAATCCTCCAGCAGACTCTTCAGCAGATGCCTTATGGTGGAGGTCCTTCTCATATGTAACAAAAAACTTCATGCAGACCTCCTGCTTACAAAAATGCTTGGTAAGCCCACATACACAAGTCAATCAGAAGTATTGTGATATTACTTCCATAATACAGATCATGGATGAAATTGCAGGTTTCATCTTAAATTTTTTCTCTCTCTAGAAACTATTTTATAATCTAGATAGCATTCCCAGTTTCTCCAGTAAAATTTAAAATATACTGAGCTCAATATAAGGTGTCAGTTTACATGTTTAACATCTCCTTGTTAGGAAAATGGGCTGAAGAATTTAGAAAGGACCCTAATTAACCTTTGACCAGAAAATTTTGAGGAAGCCTCTAGAAATTTTGGAAATAGAAGACCACATAGTAAGATTAGGTCTGGCCAACCCACAGTTTTGCTCAGGCAGTGCTTAGGGACAATTAACGTACTAAATACAAGTTCATTATGGATTTTAATGTACTAAATACAACCCCATGTTGGCTGCGTGCAAGGCAAACGCCCTACCGCTATGCTATCTGATATGCCAAACACAGTAACAAGTCTCACGATGGAGACGTTACTGGGCTGCTCGAGCAAATCGATGAACAACTGGAGAACCATGACCGTGACCGTGACCGTGACAACCCCATATGATGGCTTGGGTGTGGGAAATTAAATGAACTTCAGAATAAAGAGAACATTTAAATCCCTCCTCCACATCTTTAGTGCTCTCATTAAAATGAAGGTGGTTAATACCAATTCAAAGGATTATGATTCGAATGGTTAAATGGGCCATTAAGTAAAGAACAACATATTCTGTAGTAATAAAAGCACTTTGCTTTTCTAGCCTTTATGCTTTATAACGTATTCAACAATTCAGTACAAAAACGACCCTAAAGCTTATTATCATTTCAAAGATGAATAGGACTTCCAGCTAATATTAATCGGCCCATATAATTGTCTAGCGCTGCTGAACTCAGGTCCCTCCAGCTTTTTAAATGCCACGTCTGCAGCAGCAAGTCCGCCCCGCCAGCACACGTACAGTACCTGACAGTTCTAGGGTCCGAGTCACACATAGCCGTTCCCTGCAGCTTTGTCCCTCCCTTGACCCAGACCAACTCTGGCCGGTCGAGGACCCAACTTTCTGGAGAGACGGAGCCCAAGTAGTAACAATCGGCCTCCGGGCTCAGGCCCCTGGCCAGCCCTCTTCTCAATTCTCGAGGGCTGGAGGCGCTTTCAGCCCCGGGTAGCGGCTTTGCAAGTTCCCAGACTCAGCGCAGCAGCCGCGAGCCGCCGCCCGCAGCGAGGCCTTTGACCTACCCGCAGGGATCCGGCCGCCGCTCCTCGCCCGCGGCGCTCCCAGGCCCCGCCCTCCGCCCACAATAGAACCCGCGGGCACCGAGTCCGCGGACCCCCTGAGGCGTGAGACTGAAAATGGCTACACTGTAGCGGATGCGCGTGCTCATGCGCACAAGGCACCGCGTCCCACCCGAACTACGCTTCCCAGAAGCCTCGGCCACCACTCTATTTTGAGGTGGTCCTGCACGCGTCCTCAAATGCCTCAAGGTTTTTTTATCCCTGACTCTCAGAGATTCGAGCTGAGAAATGATCGCTGCAATCTGGTTGCTTGAAAACTGAAAACCACGGCGAGGGTGGTGCCGTGAATATCGATGAGCAATTTAAATAAAATGCTTGGAACCCAATCCAGTCGTACATTGAAAATCTTAGAGTTTTCCGTAACCGCGGACAGAAAGCACGCAAGTAATACGTGAAACGTGTAACGAGAAATATGAATAAACTAAAACCGATGGAGTACCACCGTTAGCAATTCCTATGAGAAAAATAGAAAAGGTTGATTCAGCAAATGTGTATTTCTTCTGAAAGTTTTATTCGAACTTTATTCTAATGGTATAGAATATCTGACTAACATTGTACTAAGGACTATTTTGCTACGGATTTTCTGGTTAGCAACTTTGCAGCATCATTTAAACAGAAGTCTCGATTTATAATGCTATTAGTGATAACTTTCCTTGTATACAGCGTTCCCACCCCCATAGCCTTCATCAGGGTGATCGCTTCCCTCTGTCATTGTCCTAGGGTCCTCCCTCTCGGAAAACTCCCTGTGGACTCCCCCATAGTCTCCCTGCTTTAGTAAACTCAATTCTGTACATGGTTCTCAGCTTCTGTTGCCTCTGACTGTTTGCTCTCGTATCTTTCTTATTGGTAAAGCACTGAAAGCTTTCTTCCTAAAACAGAAAGTGTCAAGAATGTCCACTCACACCACTTCTGTTCTTTATTGCTTTAGAGCAGTATTTCTCACGATGTTCCAAAGCAGGCACAAATTAAACTGCATACATAAATGAGTGGGTGAGGGGGCATCACCAGAAACTAGAGAGTCAACAGGGAAATCACAGGAAGAAAACAGGCTTGAGAGAGTTATGGTCACAGAAAGGTAGACCTTGTTTATTTCTGCCCATGTCATGAACATGGTCATAAACATTTATCTCTTCAGCATTTTGTTATGTTTTGTTTGTTTTTCATTGAATGTAGATTCTTTCCTAAGATTTCCTATTAAAACATTGTCACAACAAATACACAACATTTAGTATCAGGTTAAATAGAATCAGAGAGCAGAATATTAACACCAAGACAATTTGAACTAACACACACACACACACACACACACACACAAATTTCAAGCACAAGAAAACGTCCAAATATCACTTTAGGTAAGAATGGAAAGCATCTTTTTAAAAATGTGTTTTATGAACAACTAAAAAGAGAATACATATAATGAAATCAAGGAAGAAATTACAATGCTCATAAAATATAGAATATCTATAAAGAGAAAGCTAGTGAAAAATGAACCATAAATTATGTTTATTTGGAATAGAAAATCCAATGAAGAGCTCAATAGTAATTTTTTTTTTCCTGTTAAAAGAACAAGAAAATTTGAAGAGAAAGATGGCAGCCGCACGGGAGCCTTGTGGACAGCAGGTTTGAGGGGGGGGGGGGAAGGGGGGGGAAGGGGGGGGGAAGGGGGGGGGTTAGGGTTAGGGCCGCTATAGCGGCCACGCGACATCGTTTTATTCTTAAACCAAGTTGTAGAAAGCAAATCATTTCACAAGCTGTTTCAGCATGTCTGATGGGGGGGAGGGGGGTGGTAAACTCTAAACAATAATTGTGCATCTTCTATCGAAACAATGTATCGAGTCAAAGTAGATAGAGTATTAACTAGAACTCATCTGCCTCACAGGAATTGGGAGGGGTGGGAGGTGGGGTTCTCTTGGGGTTCGTGGTTAAAAATAAGTATTGGTAAAGGGAAATGTGTTTGATATTTACGTGACTGAGACCTAAACCGGAAAGCTCTGTAACTTTTCCCACAGTGATTCAATAAAGAAATAAATTAAAAAAAATAAAAGAAGAAAATTTGAAGGTAGTTTGAAATAGATTAGATCATCCTTCTTCAATATTTTTACACCTGAGACTGGGAAAATAAGAGACATTTTTGTAGACCTGAACGTTCAGCTGTGGCATATGCAGCAAACTGCTCCTCCAGAAAGAATGTAATACCCAGATCATGAAGCTGCTGATCGAGGGAAATTTTTGGCAGGCTTCCAGGAAATTTCTGCAGTCCAGCACTAGTAAAACAATTCCAGACACTAGATCCTCTGAGTGAAAAATCAAAAGAATGAAGAAAAATTTTGTTTTGGTGAAAGACCAGACAACATCAAGAACATCAACAGAAGCCTTAATATAGCCTCAATAGGAGCATCAGCAAGAGAGACAGAAAGAAGCGGAGAAAAATATTTTTAATATGGCTAACAAATTTCCAAGTTTGCTTAGGGACTATACAAGTATCAGGGATTGAACTCAGGGATTAAGCAGTGTGCGACATAAATGCCCTACCCACTAGATATTATCTCCCTAGCCCCAAAATGGTGTTAATTAAACCTCCTCTTCCTCCTCCTCCTCTTCCTCCTCCTCCTCCTTCTCCCCTTCTCTTCCTCCTCCTCCTCCTCCTCCTCCTCCTCCTCCTCTTCCTCCTCCTCCTCCTTTCTCCCTCTTCTCCTCCTCCTCCTCCTTCTCCTCCTCCTCCTCCTCCTCCTCTTCCTCCTCCTCCTCTTCCTCCTCCTCCTCTTCCTCCTCCTTTCTCCCCCTTCTCCTCTTCCTCCTCCTCCTCTTCCTGTTCCTCCTCCCCTCCTTTCTCTCTTCCTCCATCTCTGAGGTTTACAATACTACACACTAAAACTTCTTTATCCAATTATTTTTTGATTAACACTTAAGCTATTTCCATATTAGGTTACTCTGAATAATGCTACAATGACCGTGAAAGTGCAGATATTCTCTTTAATATCCTCTTTTCAATTCCTTTGGATGTTTACTTAAAAGTGGTATCACTGGATCATAAGGTAGCTTTATTTCTAATGTTTTGAGCAGCCTCCACTGTGTTTTTCCACAGCAGCTGTACCAATTTATTTTTCTGATTCATTTTGGGAATTTATATTTCCCAAAATTTCACAAGGTTTCCCTTAATCTAAATTCCTTTTACTCCCTCGTGTGGCACAATCAAATTTTTGTGTTAACCGTTCTCTATGCTGGCTACTGGAAATTTCTTGTTTTCTGAAAGTTTGTAATATGTTTCTCTCATTCACAGATTCTAGTCTCTCTCTCTCTCTCTCCTCTTTTTTTCTTTTCCGGTGACAGTACTCCCTTTACTAAACTTGACATTGCCTTTTCACTTGGAACTGTGCACAAGAACTGGCCAGAGCAGTGGGGTCTTATCCCCGGACCCCATGTGGAGATCTTTATTGAGGATCATGGGTAGACTTTCTGCCAGTGTTCTCAGAACTGAAACAACTTCTCTTTAATATTCTTTGATACTCTATGCTGTCTTTTTCTTGGTCTCCTACTTTATCTCAATTTGTGGAATTCCTGTCTAGTCTGGGAACTAATGGAATGAAAGGGTTTTTGTTTGTTTGTTTTTTGTTTGTTTCCAGTTGTGTTATGCAGCATTCACTGCTATCATAGGAGAGGTCACTGTCGCTGTTAGTTATGTGTGTGTTGCCTTAGGAAAAAAGCATTGATCAACTTCCTCTTATTATCTCAACTGCTCTTTTCCTTTTCTTCAACAGAATGCTTAATGTTTCTGTGGGAAAGTTGAACTTCTAGATCTCATCTGTGGGTATTTGCCCAAGTAGACACTCTCTAAAGCACTCTGGATCAGATGGTTAGGGGAAGGTTCCTTGGCAAATACCCAAGTTCTGTCTATTAGTAACAGCTGTGTGAGTCTCATTATGTGTCCCTCAGTATGGTATCTTGGATTCCAGAATTCCCACTGAGGCATTTTTGCTCATGGATGAATGTTTAAATATATATTTTTTTAAGAGATGAAACCGGTGGGCCCCCACAGATAGCTTACTTAGGTGAGGCAAAAAGGAGAGAAACAGCCACTTTCTCCAGATCCACCTCTGTCATCCAAAGACCGGCTGGGAAAGCAAGGACTGATAAAATCCTGTGCAGCACAGAGCCTCGCCAGCCTCTTTAGGTGGCCGTCAAGTCACACCTGATGCCCGTTTGACTTCTCAGCATGGGAGTTAATCCCCCACCACCTGTATTCTCAGGAAGCCGTGGACTCAGGGTAGAGCGAGGAATTGCTCTTCGCAGGAAAGGAAAGTCAGTCCTAGGCCTTACGCAGGCCTTACAGATCCTTGTCCTTCCCAGAATTTCAGGAAGAGACAAGCAGTGAAGTTAAAACAGATTTTATTTGGAGGTTTTGAGAAAGGAAAGGAGGAAGAGAAAGGGAGAGAGAGTAGCAAGCTCAAGAGAGAAGGCAGTCTTCTCTGAAGACAGAAAGAGCTCCCGTACACACACAAAGGGGGAGATATGGGTGACACATGTGCTTGGACCACATGGATACAAGCAGCACATGGGCTTGGGCAAAGTTCTTGCGTTTCCTTTGTTCAGGTGGCTTTTATAGGGTTTCTCCCAAGATGCCCCATATGAAGCTTTCTACGCAGGTAGGAAGAATCCATTGTTGGAGTGGTTGCGAAGGGGTATTCTTGGGAATGGTTGATGGTCTTCTTTGAAATTTCTTGGCCATTGTTCCTGCTGAAGTTTCTCTGGGAGCGGAGTGGGGTCCAGAATTCTCTGGGTTTGTTGGTGTCAACCTTATCAGACTTTAGTTCTTATGTCTGCAAGATGGGCTTTTTTCAGGCTTGGGCTATTGGTTTTATTACTTCATGTAATAAAATGAAGGAATTCCATGGTCATGGAAGTCCTTTCCTATCTACTGCCTATATCAGAAAGAAGGGGTGACATCTTGATCACTAAGATGCTGATGTCATTCCCTGAAGCATTTTAAATGTTACTTTG